ACTTATTTCTTAAAAGGAAAATAGTTTAACTGGCAAAACATTAAGCTTCAACCTTAAAGTACTTGGTTCAAATCCGAGTTTTCCTGATATAAAAATTATATAATAATTTAAGTAATTATAGAATTCATACACATATAATATTTATGTAAATCCATCAAAAATATCATATAATTGAGTATATATTATAAATTTTATGATTCAAGCAGCAAAAATAATAGGAACAGGTTTAGCAACTACAGGTTTAATTGGAGCAGGTGTAGGAATAGGAGTAGTATTTGGAGCATTGATTTTAGGAGTAGCTAGAAATCCTTCATTACTATGACCAGCAACGATGAAGGTGGGCAAAAGCTCTCCTCGTTAGCAACGTATCCTGTTATGTCCGTGCGCATGTCACGACCGCTTATTAAACCACCAATGCAACGGATTCGAGACAAGGCATGTATCCAAAGGGGTGTCGGGTGTCCTGCGGCTTCGACCCTTCCACCCCTCAAGCCGCTGATTGGCTTGCTCACAACCATGGTGACTCGACGGGTTTATACTCCGTACTCCGTACAAATATTTCTCGCCCTCTCTCCAAGACAAAGATAGATGACAGGGGCACATCAGCGGCTATTCGTACTTCTGGTCCAATGTGGGACTGCCTGCCGCAGCCGAAGCATCACAATGACTCAACATCCCCTAGCCTTAAGGGGAAAGAAATATAATCACGTTGTATTTATTAACTTCCATACACCAACCACGGAAATGCGCTGACTAGGCAGCCTCTATGAAGCATAACGTTCACAAATGAATATTAAAAAGCAACAATAATCATCGGATGGAACGGATGGAACGGATGTGAACCTAGAAGAGCCGTGGTCGTCAAAGTTGTTCCCCCACGGGCTGTCATGCATCACGTCAACCATGGCTATGGCGGGCTATGGCCAATATCGCTCATATGGATATTTGAACTGAGGGATTCTTCTGCATCCTTTCGGCGTCGGTCCAAGACCCTTCGTGAACAGGTGGCGATGACCTGTTAGCGAAGACAGCGGTGCTGCAACGCAATGGTGCACTCGATCGTGAACGGTGACCTGTGAACTGCCCGCCGAGCCATTAACTTTCACTGATGATCATGATACGCTGCCTGTGGCGTATACCCTAACGGTCGGAACGGCGTCGACGATTCCCTTCGTAGAGTGCCCTGGATGCGTGGGTCGCCGCCGCTTCCCGGTGACTCAAGGACCCGCCGGCTTGGATCGTTCGGTTTCCCGTTTCCCCTCACGTGCACAAGTACCAACGAAGCCATCTCCCGTCCGACTCCTCGGGCCCAGAGCGGGTAGCCGCACCCCAAGCTTCGCCACGATTCATCAGCTCAGGACTATGGAGTAATTGTCAAGTGATCTTCTGCCTCTCTGAGGTCGACATAGTCTTGGGACAAATACGATGATACTTTGCCCATGACGAACGGTACAAGCAGCAGTTCAAGCACAAGACCCCATGTGTCACACTCAAAAACGTACTACTACACCAAAAGAGAATTCTCTAATGTGTAGGTACTTCTTAAGGTATATATAGTTCAACACACCCCCCAGCCTGTATAAGGACGATCTTCGTGCTTAAAGGCTAAGGATACACACTTACATCGACACGGCTTATTTCGTATAAGCGGTCTTCTAGGGCACTAAAGCTTATTTAAGGCATCTCCTCGGCTAGGTTTCGAACGGGTGGTCTTAGCAGGGGAAGTTCCAGGAATACACTAGCGTATTCCTCCCGGGCTCATAACTGCCACACTCAAAAACGTACTACTACACCAAAAGAGAATCATTCAATAGATATATGATTGTATTCGTTACATAAAGGAAAGAAGAACAGGAAGGTGTGGGTGTTCTAAATACATCTACCCCTTTTCCACGCGAGGAATATAGGGCTAGTCCAGCTAATAGAAACACAGAAAACAGACTCACGTGTTTTTAGTGCGATATACCCCCTGATTACTATATCCTGATTAGCTTAGTAATTACTTAGCCTAACCTCGCCGGCGCCTTATAGTTAATCTTAAAATAGCTTTAAAGAGTAGTTACGGATTCTTTGAAGTCGAGTTAAAAGGCAGGTAAGGGAGCTATAAAATAAGAAAGAGTAATAATAATAGTAGTAAATAATAAAGGAAAGTGCTATTCAAAGTAATTAGTAGATAGGAGAGGTGTCGGATATAAATAAAAGGGTTTTCAGGCTTTTCAGAGCCTTTTTTTCCCTCCTATAACCACGGCCTCTTTTTGACGATTTTCCGTTGTTTTTCGTGTCTCGCCTAATCTCTTGGACTTTTTTCTTCTTATCCTCCTTAAATAGCCGTTTTACGTCACTTAAACGCGCTATAGTAAGTTACCGGAGCTCTGGTTCTTAATATAAGTGCTGACAGTGTTTATTTTAGGCTCTCTCGACCCGTTCCTCCAGTGCTAAGGTCACTGGTTTAACCGTTTCAACTAAGCCCGCTGGTGTTATAAAGAACCCTGGCAAAAAACCTAATGTGAGTACTCCGGCTTTTTAGCTTCGTGCTTGCAGTTATAGTCGTAAAGCTCCGGTTACTAACTAAGTAGCAGACTCCGAAAAAGCCGACCAAAAAATCAACTAAGCCTGCCGATCCTAACTATATACCCGTTCTGTTCGATCCGCCCTGTATATAGTGTGTTAAAGGTATCTATTCGGGTAAATAAAGCTCGTTCGATTATTGCATTAC